CTTTTCCACCTTCAAGGCACTCAAAGCGCTTTACAACAAGGAACCACTCACCCATTCACACACACATTCACACACCAGTGTACGCAGACACTGTGGGCAAGGTGGGTTAAGTGTCTTGCCCAAGGACACAACTACAGCATTCATCTGTGGGAGCTGGAATCACACCAGCCAACCTTCAGATCAGTGCGCGAATGCTCTACCAACTGAACTACTGCCGCCCCATTGTACAGCTCCTTGGCCACATGCGGCCCCTTGGTTAACTCTCACTGGCCCGTTTAGGGTCAGTTGCTAAGCTCATTTGGAATTACAAAATAAACAATTTTTTGTAAGGCGACCTCACTTTTTCATTGCTTAATCATAACGTAAACCAGTCTGACCAGCTCGACAAAACAATGATATTTACAGTTTTTTAGTTTTTTTTTAAAATTATTGCTGCTTTTATTACTGTTTTTTTTTTTTTTTTTATAAAGAAGTACAGTTAAGTTAAGCATTTTGGTTTGACCCTCCACAATATTTTCTGTTTCTCATGTCACCCCATGGAAAAAATAATTGCCCACCCCTGGTCTATAGTGAGGAAACATGCTATCAAAGACCGTGCACTACAGGTCGCGCTGTTGTACACCTCTGCTCCACTTACAATCAGTCACAAATAATCTTTACTTTACACAGTTATATTAAAACAAGGACAACATAGCAGAGATTATGATATAGTATTTCCCCCCTATAGCATTTTATCCAGACCTGCAATGCAGCGCTCCGTTCTATTTAATTACGTGCTGCGAGTGTTGGAGTCGTATGCCAAGTAGCTGCTGTATGCTGCGCTGTCCGACCGGGGCTGCCTCGCCAATGTGCTGAGCGGGGCACCCTGACGGCAGCACTACCTGACCACCTCTCTTCTGTATATATATATGCGTGTGTGTGTGTTTGTGTGTGTGTGTGTGTGTTGTGTGTGGCTTTGCATCGCGGGGGTCACCATTACTCACTCTCTGTTGGTTGTCAGTTCTCTCCCACTTGCCCGCGTTTTACCTCCCCTTTCTGTTCAAATGGAGTGGATATCAGACCCGAACTAGAACGGCAGGTCTCAAACGCAAACGCTGCCAAGGTAATATATTTCTGTTTTTATTTTTTTATTTAATATTTCTATAGTTTCAGTCCTTTTAGCTTACTCCCTCTTCCTCTAGATGCTAGCTCTGTGTGGAACCTGATTTCCTTTTTCTAGTTCACAGTAGTGCTAGTCCTAGGCTCTGTTTGCAGTGGCTCTGTTGTTATTTGGACTCTTGACTTTTTTTCCTCCCTTGCACCGAGAACAGAGCCTAGCCGCTAGATCGTCTACCAGAGGACGGTACGGCTGCTGTTGCTTTGTTTTGTCTCAAGAGAATGTTTACTTCTTCTTCTCCTCTCAACTTGATTTTGAGATCGCAGACAGTGTAGTGATTGTTGTTTCGTATTTTTTACCAAAACCACAAAAGAACTTGATCTTAAATGGTTTGTCGATCCTTCTCAGATCTAAAACTGCACAATTTTGAACCACTTTGAAACGAAAGCAATTTGGGACGTGCTACAGAAACTTTGAGTGGTAAACCCATTAAAAAAATGTCATTAACTCAATTCAAAAACCAATCATTTTGAATTTTTGCTGAATATTCAGTTATGGTCATACTGATGATCATACAAGCTGATCAGCCTGTTTTTTATTTTGTACTTATATGTATATTTGGATAACGAATGGGTATTTACCTCTAAAAGTGGTCTATCTCTAATTGCAGCTCAGTTTAAAATAATTCCACAAAATTTCAATCTACATTTTTATGGTTGTGCTTGACTAGATTATTTAGGCATTTTTGACTTGGGTATCTAGACCAAAGCTTTTTACCCTGTGGGCTAAAATTAAAACATATTGCAGACCAAGGATAAAACTGAAAAAATTATAATAAATTATTAAAATAAAATTAAAGATAAGGTAAATATTTAGTTTGGAAAGATATTTAAAACTAAATTGTTTCTAATTATTCAGTTTTTTAGGGGGGGTAGTCTGGTATGGGCCTCCTGAATTGAATCAAAATAGATTATTCCAATGAGGTTAATTTGGTCTTCTGATAATTCTGTTAAGTCATGCTTTTTTCAGACCAAGGTTTAGTTTCTTTTCATGTCTGGTCAGCTGATTTACACAGGTTTTGACAGCGCCGCCTGCAGTCTGAGAGTAAAAAAAAGAAGAGTTGAGGGAATCACATTATGGACTTGGACAGAGGAACAGAAAACAACAAACATCTAACTAAACAGGAGGCTCAGTATATTGGATTAAGGACGAAATACACTAATGTGCCCACTGGACTATTAACCAGGATGAGGGGGCCTTGTTACTCTCACGCACCTGGGACACCGAAGAAATCAAGGCTGCAGATGATGCTGTCATCCTGCGTCTAAAGGCATCGCCAAAACCTGCTTAAATCAGCTGACCAGACACGTGAGAAATGTCAAAATTGTCAGTTATGAAAACAACGGGATGAGCTCGGAGTAGAGCCGCCGCTCCTCCACGTCGAGTGGAGCAGATGAGGTGGCTCAGGCATCTGTTCTGGACACCTCCTGGGCTCCTTCCTTGGGAGGTGTTCTAGTCATGTCCCAGTGGGAGAAAGACCCAGGACACGGTGGTGGGACAAGGCAGGAGGAGCTGGAGGAAGTGTCCATTGTGAAGGAAATCTGGGAGTCCCTGCTTAGGCTATCCCCATGACCTGACCCCAGATAGGCTGAAGAAAATAGATGATGGATAGAAAACAAACTTAACTTTGGTCTGAAAACAAAATCGATAAGGAACTAGAACGTCTTTCAAATTACACTATTGATAAACTTGTGGTATAGACTTAGACAAACTTGATAACAAAACTGATCCACAAGGGAAATTATTTAGACACAGTAGCTCACACGTCATATTATAATATAATAACAAAGAGAAAAAAATATATAAATGGTAATAATAAACTGTAAATAACTAGCAAAAAAGAGCAAGAGACAGGTGTCAAAAAAGGACACGACAGACATATTTTGCACAGCCAAATCTCTCACCAATCTCTTAAAACTTTCCAGAACTAACATGCCTAAAATTCAATCTCCCTGAGCCACCATAGTTGACCCGCTAACCGAGCCGGTCCATCCCGCTGCCCTGTGTCCGTCCCTCTGGCAGAACGATTGTCTGTTTGATGAAGCTCCCCCGGTCCCCGCCGCGGAGCCGGGACAAAGCGCTGCATTGAGGGCCGAGCGGCGGCTCAGATCTGGACAGAGGAGCCGGACAGTGGAGCCATTGTGGTCGTACGTCCGAGCGGCTGCAGATGACCCCTCACGTGTCCAGCACTGGCCCCGTTCTGAGTAGCGCCGACCCTCTCCGGGAAGTAGCCCAGCCCCCGTGAGAACCAAGCTTTGATGCTTATTACGTAACGGCAGCTTTTCGGACATATAGGTCAGAGATGGCAGCCCGTGTCGAATGAGAAAAACTAATGCCTGTTCCAAAAGCGATTTTAGTTACAGCAAAGGTCAGCCATTTCAACATTTCAAAGTATTATTAGACTTTATATTTAGGTCTGTGCAACAAATCACTGAGTAGAGACGCTTGAGGAAAAGTTCTTTATTCAACCTATCCAACCTTTAAAGCCCCACTGCGTAACATCTCAGCCAACAACAATTAAAAATGTATTTGATCACAGGTGCTTTTATTGCTCAGAAAAACCACGAGCGGTCTCTTCCCTTTACGCAGACCTGATTCGTTCGTTGGCAAGTCCAGCCGAACATGAAGATACATGTCCGTGCGCACAATAAAACCACGGTTTCCACAAATTGGCTAAGCTTTTTAAATAGTCCCAAGTTGGAACTTATTCAGCAAACAGCTCACTTGGTCCAGCGCCAGTCCCTCTCAGCACAAAGACGAGAGAAGCGCGCTCTACCTCCCCAGCGCTCCCCATTTTTCACCCGGCGTCCTTGTGCAACCTTTTAGAATCGTCTCACATGCTGATATCTGATATTCACGCAGTCGGTGGTTAGAAGTAGGAGTAGTATCCTTCCTGTCCAGCGTAATTTGACAGTTTAAAAAACTGTCCAAAAGTAAAAATCTAATCTGTTTTAACAATATTTTTTTACATTTAACCTTGTCAAATCAATCTAATCCACTCTACAACTCAAAATTATGAATTAAATACTCAAAGTGCATATGACAGGTTTTCAAGTTTTGTTTTTTTATTTTGTTTTCTGACTTGTTTTAGTTGGATACCTGTAGTAAATATCAAAAAAAGTTGATGAGAAAAGTACAAAAATACACAAAGTAAGTACTTTAACAGAATACCTCAACACATAAAATTGCTTTCAAACCTTCAACAAATAAAGATTGCGTTTATTTTTATCAGTCTAATCAAAAATTATAGTGCAATTTCGACAACTTTTGCTTCTTGTTTACACGGTTTCAAGGTGACTTATAGAATTACCTACTAAAATGATAAACTTCCTCCAAAAAACTAGAGCTTTAGTAAGATTTTTAGTACAGTCCTAAGCAATAATTATAATTTCCTTTCGTTTTACTACTCTAACCTGTCATATGCACTTTAATTAAATACTCTAAAGTCTTAAGTTCTTCCTTTTCGTAGTTAAAAGTCTCAAAATTTACTGGCATGTTCTTGTTTGCTACGGCGACCGAATCAACAGCTTCCTGAGTGCCTTCTGTAGCCATAGCTCTGCTCTTACTTGCCCCGGTCTCAGGATTTGGCACCAAAGACGGCCGCCCTGTGACGACTCGGACAAGGAAGAGCCGAAATCCTGATAGTGGAACTTGTTTTTTTTTCCCATTTCTTGTGTTGTCGTGCGTTTCCATTCCGAGCCCCTGCAAATCAATGCCCCACGCCGCATTTGATTGGGCCGTCTGACCACACTGCCTCCTGCTTAGTACGATTAAGTAGTAGTATCCTTCCGCCGTTGTGTTTGGGTTGTGTTTGTCATGTTAACTGTGTCCTTGCCGTCCTCAGCCATCCACCACCTGAAGCTGAGTCGGACCCACGTGGACTGGCACAGCGTGGAAGAAGTCTACCTCTACAGCGACGCGACCACCTCCAAGATTGCGCGAACGGTCACTCAGAAACTGGGCTTCTCCAAAGGTTTGTAAAACGCCATTCTGCTCATTGTTCAACTGGTACTTCGCGCTGGGGGTGCACTGCATGTATGTGTGTATGTCTACAGCGGAATGTTAAACTGTTACCGTTGTGTCGCCATGCACACGTCAGCGAACACAGCCCTGATAAAATGTGAGATCTAAGACCTAAAACTTAAGAAGAGCACATTTTCAGGAGCCTGTGATCATTATGAGGCATTTGATTTTGAACGAAAAAGGTGAGTGTGACAAACTGAAAAACTTGACTTAACTTGACTGTATGATGACTGTAATGTTTTTTGAGAGGCAGTTTTTTAACAGCGCGAATCAATTTGTCTGTTGTAGTTCCAGCTAAGACCCCGTTTACACTAAAACGAATCCACGTATCAGCGTATCGGAAACGATCTGCGTCCACACTCGTCGTTTCTGTATCCACAATCAAAGCGTTTCCTGTCCACACAGAAACGCAAAACCGCCTGAAACGCTCGTCACGTGACAGGCTGGTGTTACGTCTTCACGACATCCCGACGTCACGTGAGCGGTAAAAACAAGGAAGTCTGAATTTGCCAGAGCTGATTTTGAGCCGAGGGAGATGGCAAGTGTAAAAACTGTCTTTTCGTGGACCAACGACGCGGGTCAGTTGCTACTTAGTGTAAGATTGGATTTTAAGATGAGCATGGCGACTAGTTTTTGTGTCCGCAAGTCTTCCCTATCCACACAGATTTGAGCATATTTGTTTACGTTTTACAGAAACGAAACTTAAAACCGCATGGCTAATTTGCATAAACTAAGCGCTCAAAAAAAACAGCTCGCTATTGTGCGTCTGTCGGACTGAAGGACACGACTCAGTGGAATATATGTGTTCTTTCTCTGACAGAGGGGTGTTCAGATAATGGTGAGTTTGTTCTGTTCTTCTATCACGTTGCAGATGGTTCATGTTAAACTTTTCAGAGATTATACATCTGGAGGTCATACGCACAGACCGTTTATATGAATGGACATATATTCTAGCATTTTAGCGTTTTGTCGCTGAATTAGCTACTTCACGGAGCATAGAACTACATCAGTGTATCAGTGTTTTCAGGCGTACGGATCTGATCTGTACTCAGATGAATTCATGGGAGCTGGTGGCACCAGATCGTTCCATCTCTGGAGCCGTTTTCATTCGGATTAGTGTGGACGAACACTGCACCCACAACGAAAACGATTCAAATACGGACTAGTGTGAACGGGGCCAAAGACTGTTGTTTATGCCCAGATTGCGTTAAAGCTAAATAAAGTTTAGATTAAAGGCTAACTTGAGTAACAGCGCTTCAGACAAAGAAGTGCCTCCATTTGGCTTCTCGGTCCCATGTTGATGCAAAATATCATATCGATATTATGCAAAATGGACAATATTTTTGGGCTCAGCAATTGTGTTTTTGTTTTTTGTTTAGTTTTTTTTACCAAGTTTACTAGCATATACAAATGTGAACATGCAAGTTGTAGGTCTCAGTAATTCGCCATGTCTATTTGCTATGATACTATTTATAACTTTTACCACTGTAATTTTATAAATGGTGCACTAGGAAACTTTTCTGTTTGAGTGCCGTCTGTGTGTCTCTATGGAGATTTTGTTGCTTTGCCGTGAATGTTCCACAGGCATTAAACATCTAGTGCTTATTCGGTCGCAGATTTTATTACTTAAACGGTCCAGTGGCGCCTCTTGCTCGTCTCCGTGGAGATTAATATATAACCGTAATGAGGAAAATTCCAGGTAAAGTAATTGCATCCCCATAGAGATGAGCTGCAGGCAGACCTCCCATCAGAAAAGTGACCTAGTGCACCTTGAAGACGTGGATAGTAAACTTTACAATATGGTTCAAGTGAATATTTGCGTACTATACCAATATAATACAGTATTTCCACACTTCTCACAATAATAAAAGGCCGTATACTTGTAGACACGTTGCTTTTACTTAATTGTACTTAATTATATGAAGAAAGAAAACAGGTACAGGCCGTTTAAATTAACTTTTTACAATAAAATTTCATTAAAAATCTAGTCCCATGTGGTCTCCAGTGCAGTATTAGCGTGTTTGCTCGAAGCGTTGGTAGTGGTTTGTCATGTCCAAAGGAGCTTGGACAGGCTCCAGGTCTGCACTTCCCCTAATGGAATAAGTGTTTGAGATGAGCACGGGTGTTAGAGAATGAGGTGGGCACGTCGGTATCATCATAATCACGGCCGTTCTGTGGATTATACGTCCGACTGTATAAAATCTACAAAAACATGAGCGAGTTACTGCACTAACGCCCACGTGAAGGGCTTGTTCTCTTGCTTTGTGTGCAGTAGGGATGGGCCCGTATGGTTTTTTTAGCCGATGATATCACGTATTTTCATTGCTGCTGTGTCCGATAACCAATATTTACTGATACCGATACAGTGGTCCCTCGTTTATCGCGGGGGTTACGTTCTAAAAATAACCCGCAAAGTAGTCAACTTTATATTTTACATTTATTATATCAGTTTTAAGTCTGTAAAACCCCTCACCACACACTTTATACACTTTTCTCAGACAGGACAATTACGACCCTTTTTGCATCCTTCATAAAACTTATTGCTGCTGTTGTTCTTTATGTAACAAACCGAAGATTTATTTATGCCGTAATGGAGTCCTGCATGGGTCCATTTTTGGAGATCCGCACCCGCACAGTACAGCACCACGCCCGCCCGTTAACCCAAGATTTAATTTATCAAACTTTAACTTAAATTTAACAAAACTGCCTATGCCAGGACTAACCCAGGACTGAACAGGACAGGACTAAACAGGACCAGGACTGATTCCAGGACTAAACAGGATTCCAGGACTGAAGAGGACTAAACCAGGACTGAAGAGGACTAAACCAGGAGTGATTCCAGGACTAAAACAGGACTGATTCCAGGACTGAAGAGGACTAAACCAGGACTGATTCCAGGACTAAAACAGGACTGATTCCAGGACTGAATAGGACTAAACCAGGACTGATTCCAGGACTAAAACAGGACTAAACCAGGACTAACCCAGAACTGAACCAGGACTCGCTGTCAGGACGGGCTGGGAGGTGACCACAGGAGAAAGGACCCACGCAGAGCTCCGCATCTCACGGAGGAAAGCCCGGCAATTGCCCGATCGCACTTCCGGATCCGGACAAACTGCTCGGCGTTCTCGCTCTTAAGTCCAAGATTAGTCCTGGTTTAGACCTGGTTTAGTCCTGACCCACAAGTGTGTAATTACTAATACGCAATACGTGTTCATAAAAAAAACAGCGAGACTGCGAAAGGTGATATAGCGAGGGACGACTGCATTTAACTTTCATAGCATTCCCACCAGTTTATCTTAAATTGAAGTAAAGATCACAAATTACTATTAAAAATTATAAAATGTATTAACTGGGATATGAAAGCATCTGTTGCATTCTTTCTTTGGTCTGCCCAGAAAGACAGACCTGACAATACTGGCACGACATATGAGAATGGAGCAGCCACAAAATCAATATTTGTTGTTACTGGATCCGATATATGGCCCATCCCCGTGTGCGAGTAGATGTGTTTTTTAATAAAGCGATCATGTAGGCTGCCTCTGTGCGATGGCAGTAGATTAGAGCCGAGCTGGCAGTGGATCTCTCAAATCTCCGGCCGCACAAAAGCCCCACACAGCCTAAATCTCCTTAGTGCTGTCCTGACCGGAGCAAATGCCGCGGCTCCTGCCACACGGCACATGACCCAGACCAGAGACGCACCAGACGACAGCTCCTAAAAAAGAGCCTCTGCAATCACTGTTAGAGCCCGAGTAGTAGTTGTATTTTGATCATTTTAATATTTATCTGGATTATACAGAGCCTAAAATACATATGAAAAGACCTTTTTATAACAGGAGCATTGTTAAATCCAGATATCAAAACAGAAGGGCCCGGTCAAGCAGAAGTAAACAGCAAGGCCAAAAATTCAAGTTAATGCATCTGATATAAAAATGTATTCAACAGATACATATGTACTCTAGTTTATGAAACTGTTGACCTTTTTTCTGTACCATTTTTGGTTCTAAAGTTACATATGTTTTAAACAGACCATGTATGAAACATGGAACAAAAATTATTTCCCAAATTTTCAAAGACCTGAAATATCATGTAAATAAATGGATGTATTTCATCATATCTTGTGTTATTCCATCTTTGAACTGTTGATGAAGGTATATGATTTTTTTTTTTTTTATGTTTTTAAAATGATTAAAATTTGCTTGGAAGGACTGACATATTTTATAGAAATAGTTTCCTTTCATTTTGAAGTAATATTAAAGTGTTCAGAAGAAAAAAGTGACAAATTATGTAAAATCCTGCACCTTCTACTTGTTTGCACAATTTTCCCTCCGTTAATTTTTTCAACCTAATCTTGTACCATATGGTAGAAAACTATATGAAGCAAATATTCAAACCAGTTTGTTAAGGATATGTAAGTGAGAACCAAGAGTTATCACTGTTTGTATTTATTGCCCAAAAAGTGCTGCATATTTCATTCCCTCCGTTAGCGACGTGAGTTTTTTAAATTTCTTGTCAACAACTTGAAAGAATATCACAGGTTTAACTTTACCCTGTTGGAGTGTAACTCTTTCCTACATTCTGATACTTTACTTATTTCAATAGTCCCTCTAGTTTCTGAATAAGAGACATTTGAATGTCAAAAATCTGCCCGTTTCCCTCCATTACTGCTTGACCGGACCCAGAATAAACAATAATAATAGTTATTTTTAGTGGTAAATATTCTCTAATTATAAAAATTTATTCAGACAGTCACTAAAATAAATAAATAATTGAAAAAAAGAAAATCCCAGTTTTAATTTTCGCAGTAAGTGTGTTATAAAGACGGTAGAGGTGCTGTGATCAGGATTTTTAAGGCCGATCATCTGAATTTTTGTCTCTCTTAACGTTCCATTTTGCCGATTGCCACATTATTTTTGCCTTTCTGCGGCCGATCGATCGGAGCACCACTAAAAGTCTGCATTTAGTTTTCTGATCAGAGAAGCAAATATCCAGTCTGCCGTGGGCTTTCTTAGTACACAATGCACAAAACCTGCTGGACCTGTACTTTAAACCTGTGCAAACACATTCTGATAAAACATCTCATTATTGTGTTTGATTAGCAGTTCATATTTCAGTCTCTCAGTGCTCCAGGTTTAGTCCTCCTGATAAAATGTGCTTGTTTTTCCTCATCATTGCTTTGTATTCTAATGTTATATAATCCATTAGACTCTACAGTGATATTGTTGTCCTGCGTTGAAGGAACAAGAAAGAAAAATGTAGTCCGGCCTGAATTTGTATTGTGTATTGTTTATTGTGTGTTGTAGCCTCCAGCAGTGGCACGCGGCTGCACCGGGGCTTTGTGGAGGACTCGTCTCCGGAGGACAGGCCCCCTCAGACCACTCACATCGTGTTTGTGGTGCACGGGATCGGACAGAAGATGGACCAGGGACGGATTATCAAGAACACCGCAATGTGAGTGAGGGAGTGGCTTGGTACTGCACTTTTGTTCAATAGTTTGGGTATTTTTAGCATTTTCATGAAGAAATAAGCATTTCCATGTATTAAAAACACACATTATTCGAATCAGTCTGTACTCGCTCATCTGGATTTTGTGGTAGCACTTCCTCTACTGGCAGCAGTAAGAATCACCATGGAAATAAACAAAAGCTAATCATTAAGTAACATGACCGGTATGGTAATATAAGCATGCAGTTGTAATAAATGCAAACTAAAAGCAGAAATGCTCCTAACAAGTCTGACTTGTTTTTTTGTTTTCATTTTTTTATTACTGTATTTTCCGGACTATAAGACGCTCCAGAGTAAAAGTCGCACCAGCTAAAAAAATGCGCAATGAAGAAGAAAAAAACATATGTAAGTCGCACCAGAGAAATGTACTTTATAAAATCAGAGACCAGGAACCGACATTTTATCTTGAAAGGCAAGTACTAGTAATAACAGAACAGAGAACAACAGACTGAATATTTGTTAATATGTTAACGTAACATATTAACAATTATTCAGATAATTATAGCATAAACAACAGAACATAAGTTTACGAAACTCACGATCTCACTCCAAATCACTAAATCCATTGAATTCTTCGTCCTCGGTGTCACTTCTGCGCGACCTCCGGAGATAAACCATAGATCCATGATGTAAACAGAGCGCCATTCCTCTTCTGTGTAGCTGTCGTCAGACTCAGCATCAGTTCCAGTTAGAATTATTACGGCCTTTCTGAATCCTGACAGGATCGTTTCAGTTGTTATTGAAGTTCAGGATTTATCGATTCATCCAGTGACTTCCAGGAAAGTTACATGAAGTTGTGTTCTACATCCTCGCTTTCCACCAGTCCCTCACAAGTTTCTCGCTCACTCTAAACTTTCTCTCTGTTGCTCAATTACCTGTTTTCGGCTGGAGATTTCATTATTTGCAGCAGAACAACGGCTTTATCTACAGCAGGCATGCGCAGTAGAGTGAAGTGACAGTGGTACAGGAGTAATAGTAGTACTAGATACTGACACACGAGACTAGAGCCTCTCGCGGCTGTCAGTCTGAAAATTTTAATTTATAAGTCGCACCGGAGTATAAGTCGCAGGAAACACCCAAACCATGAAAAAAAAGCACGACTTATAGTCCGAAAAATGCAGTAGTTTCATTCATGAAAGAGGAATCCAAAATAATTATGTTTCATACATCAACGTGAATAAAAAGGAGCAGAAAGAAGTACAGACTTGTAATATCTGCTCTCTTATCACACAAAGTAAAACATTTCAACACTTCAACACTTCACCTTCTACATTTGTAAGCAACTTATTTACATGACATACACAATATTAAATACTTGTTAATTCACACAAAAGGGCAGTTCATACTTCGTACTTTTTAGCATATCGTGTTTGACATTTCTTTTAAACACTTGAATAGATTTTGAAGCTTTGATTTTAGACCGTTTCATAAGCTGACACCTTTGATTGAAACACATTTTTCCATTGTTGTTGTTCCGAACCTGAGTTTTTTAAAGCTTTCATTTCCTTTCAAATTATAATGACTTTCTCGCTTTGTAAATTTTGACTTTGATGGGATTAAAACACCACAGGAAGTCTTTGGATCTTTACCTGCGACGCCACAATCTGAGGACAATTGAAACAGTTTAATTCCTGCAACTCAGAGGGAAATGAACTTCTGAAACTTCTGAAAGCGTGAATGATGCAAAATAGAACACAAATACACTACAATGTTTTCATCAGGGAGTTCTACCCGAGTGTTTACTTTATCCTAAAATACATATAAATTATAACAAAATGAATCAATCTATATGTACTACTGTTGAAAGTAAAACATTATATTAGGATAAAAAATGTGGAATTACTCATAGTTTGGTTAAAAATACTATAATTTCCGCTTCTTTTATTACCAAATGGATGCTTATGTTGCGAGAACCCTATAGCTGTACATTTTATGGGTCATTCCTGAGCTACCAGCTGTGTTTGCCGTCTTTGAGCAGCGCGACGTCAGCACAAAGCTAACATCCCACTTTAACTCCAATACGCTCCGCTGCTCGGCGCGTAGACTCTATGTAAACATACGCCGCGTCATCACCTTTCACTACTACAGCCGCTGCGAGCTCCACGCGCCGCCCCCCCCGACAAAGGTCCGACCACAAAGACGAACCCGCCCAGCTGATGCGCCCCTCCTCCCTCCGGATTAGCCACGCCAAGGCCACGGACCGTCACCCAGGGACCGTCTGCGAGCTCCAACTGACTTAATAATAATAATAATAATACATTTTATTTATATTGCACTTTACATAAAATAATCTCAAAGTGCTACAGGTAAAAACAATGAGTAAAAAGGTGCATCAGAAACAGTGGATCAAGCTAAAACCAGTGCAGGAATTTATAAGATAAAACAAGAATAAAATACAATTAACAAAAGGCTTTAGTAAAAAGGTATGTTTTAAGATTTTGTTTAAAAACAGAAATAGATTGTGGGGCTCTCAGGTGGTCGGGGAGAGGCATTCCAAAGCCTTGGAGCAGCAGAGGAGAAGGCCCGATCTCCCATGGTGCAAAGTTTGGTTCTGGGGGTTTGGAGAGTGTTGGTGGCTGCAGAGTGGAGGGAGCGTGAGGGGGTCTGGGGAGTGAGGAGTTCCTTAAGGTACTGGGGGGAGTGACCGTGGATGCATTGGTGAGTGAGGAGGGAGACCTTGTACTCAACTGACTTAAACTTATCACAGACTGAACACAACAGATATACCATTAGGAGTCACCTTTATTAAAATCACAAAACAGTAAATAAACCACCTATTCAAGTTCAAATTCATTAAAATAAAGACTAAACTTTTTGTGGCGATGTTGTGATATTTATTATGCCTCAAAATTTGCACCAGCGTCATCACTGAGACACAGACATCTCTCTTTCTAAACACAGGTGTGTCCTCCGCTCAAGTATTCATTTTGTTTGTGTACCTTTTTAACATGTTGTGACATCCGCCCACTGCTCCCTGTTCGCTGCTTTTGCTTTAAATATTTATTCAGTTTAGCACGACTCGGCAAAAAACACATTCGCACAATTTGACAGTGTGTTTGCTGGGCACAGAGCATATTGTTTTTACTTCAGTGGTCGGGATATTACGTTGTCTGTATTAAAGGTGCACTGTGTAACTTTTCTGGTGGAAGGTCGGCCAACTGCTTGTCTACATGGAGATTCCACAGTATGGCGTTAAACAAGTATAGCATGTTTTCCGGGTTATTAGACGCTCTCTTAAGCCTCTAACTGCATCAAAAAACCACCGCGTGCCCTGCAATCCAGAGCGCCCCATACACGAATCCACTCAGGTGTCCCAGCACGACTTCAATAAACTACAAAGTCGCAGCGCACGCAAACACACACGGAGCAGACAACGACCGCGCAGCGAAAAACACCCACAGACACACTCATCACTCCACGCCGACGAGGAACGGAACGGAGGAACGGAACGGAGGAACGAACCGAAAAAGCGAGTGCAATGTGGCACTTCTAAACACAACTGAACAACTGAGTCACTGCGAACACGCCGACAATCCAGCAGCCCCAGACAGCACCCTCCCTACACGCCACAACTGAACAAAGCCCAGAGGCACCGTGAACGCACCAAACAAACAAAACCACTGACCCATCCAACTGTTGTGTTTCCTTTAAAGTCCAGTGCGGTTTATTTGTGAGAAAAGTTTGAAAATAAACCATTTAATGACAGTGCGCCTTATAATCCAGAGCACCTAATAGCCTGGAAAATACGGTATGTATATTTACTAAATTACAGGTACTTTTATTTCTCCAAATTACTGAAAAAACATTTCTGTGAGAGGGTTCACTTCTCCACAGATCTGACGTGTAACTTGGTCTGCTGATGTGACCAGCTTGTCTCCATGGAGATAAATTAAATGCCATATTGTAGAACATTTCTGGAAAAAAAAAAAAAAAAAAGCACATGGATTCAAGCAGGTGGCGGACCCTCTACAAGAATAGTTGCACAGTGGATCTTTAAACTATTGTTTATTTTCAGCCGACTGGGGGCAAAAGCAAAGAATAAAATCAAATTAGGGCGATTCAAATGATCAGTTAACACATAATTGAGACATGTGTCTGTTGGGTCTCTCGTGCACCAGACTTTCTGTGCAGATAATCGCATCACACCAACTAAAGCTGCGACCAACAATTATTAACAAGTTTTATTTTTAGTCTATTATTCAAACACTTTTTAAAGTTTCATTTTTGAAAGGCGCTGAAATATGATGTGACTGGCTTCTAGAGAAATTTTTGAAATAAAGTGGTTTATTTGGCCATTTTGCTTTAATAATGATGCTGTCTTTGTGATAAAAACATGCTTTATCACACGTTTTGCAGTCTACTGTTTATAAAGCAATTACGATTATCAAAACACAATTGCAATTATTGATTATTTAGATGAATCTTTACTGTCAAACATTGTGATTATTAGTTTGTCCATAATTGTACAGCCCTAATTGAGATGAATGCATTTGCTTTAAAATATCTGTCATTTTGTGACTGTGAAATGATAGTCTAAGTAAGTCTAATGCATTCGTGTGTAGCAGTTTAAATGCAGCTCTCTAAAAGCTCTATCCTCTCTGCAGCTTGTCTAAATGTGCAGAGTGTTTGCAGGTCCTGTCCTCAGTGCACACTCCTCAAAGCTCCTCTCCTCCTCCCTGTCCCAGCCCAGCCCTCTCCTCTATCCTCTATCCTCTGTCCTCTCTTCTCTCGTCTCTCTCCTCTGTGTATGCTCCTCACAGACTTTACAAACTGCAGCAGTGCAGCTAATGGTGCTTTTGCTGCATGGCTGAAGCTGCTGCATCACTGAGCACAAATGAAGCAGTCATCCCTCTGCTCGTGACAGCAGGTCTGAGAGGCAAACTCTGTGTGCTGCTGTAAACGGGTCCTAACAGGCTGCTGGTCTGGTGACATTCTGCACACGTGTGTCGACATACAAAGACATTTATATTAGACTAAACTGATCATTCTTATTTTAATATAATGTTCCCTCGTCAAAAATATAGTTGGAGTTGTATTTAGCTTCATTCACGCTTGTTTCATAAATCATGTTTACAGGATTGTCTTGCCTCATAAATCATAAATCTCTCTTCATTTTTCCCCAGATTGTTACATCACAGGTAGAAATCCAGAGGTCACCTGCCCAGTTTTAAGTCCATAAATCATCACTAGATTTGTTCTATTGCATTTCTTCTATTGAAGTATATTAATTACTGTGTTCTAATTAGCATGCCGGTCATGTTGCTTAAATAGTTTTTTAAGTTAAATTAATTTGTTTCATTTTCAATAGTTCAAATGTTAAATACCACAGGCAGTTTTCCTAATATAATTTCCCTGTGGCTGTGCAGGCTGAGGGAAGGAGTGAGGAAGATGGAGGAGAAGCACTTCCCCGGGCACAATGACGAGCACGTGGAGTTCCTGCCTGTGGAGTGGCGCTCCAAACTCAGTCTGGACGGAGGTGAGTGCACTCACGAGCACAGGGATGATTACACACGAGTCACTATGTCTGCATGTAAAGCCACCTAAAGCTTGAGATTGAACCATTATTTTTCAAGCTAATAGTTTATTTAGTCAGGTGATTAGGCTAAACTAAATATCAATCAATGATGATGTCACATCCGAGTTTAACCAGAAACTTCACAGTTAATTTCTAGTTTTGTTTTTGTTCCTTATTCGTCAAACAAGAGCTTGTTACTTTCAAAAGTGTTTAACCAAAAAATGTTATCAAATATGTAAATATTGTAGTCATAATTTAGCATAACAAAGGATTACCACTCCCTACACTATCTTAGTCTTGTCTAGCTTCTTACCTCACCTCCCTTGTTGGCTTTAAACAACTGCACTTTCTTTGTAAGATGAGATTCCTCTCTAAAAACAGAGGAAATTGTAACATGTTCATTGTTTTAAATGGCATCACACTTAACTCTATAGATCTATTTTAACTTAAAGATGCATCGCCTGATTTCAGTGAACCTGTTTTCTTACTGTAAGCGCTGTAGATGTGTAGAGCTTTTTTTCTTTCTCTGACAAACCCATTATTGCACAAATGTCTGTTTTGTGTCTTAAATTTATCCTTTTGAGACTCCCTGATTTTATTTGATTTTATTCTTGCTTGTGCAGACACAGTGGAAACCATCACTCCAGACAAAGTGCGAGGCCTGAGGGACCTCCTCAACAGCAGTGCCATGGACATCATGTATTACAACAGTCCTTTGTATCGGGACGAGGTCAGTCTGGATTTCAGGTTTCCCCCCTTTAAATTCCACACTACCTCTATTTTTGATGATTATCCTTAAAAAGCAGATTGTTTTGTTCTGTACCTTATTTTTACGCTCTTAAAAACGTGAAAAACAGAACTAGTTCATATTAAACGGTTTGCAGTGGTCCAAAGATATCCCTCGCTTACCTTATACATTCAGAACAGCCTAATTATTAATAAGCGCAGACCAGAGCGGAGTTTTCACAGCCAAGAACAACCAGCATGCTAACACACTCTTCCTGATTATCGGACCAGCACTTGAAAATTAGGTGCCGACTTATTTTGACCTCAAGAGCTGCTTATACAATATATCTGTTCTGGAACAAGACTCATTTTGCTTAAATAAATTTTATAAAATCAGGTTATGGGGCTTTTAATAACTGTAATTATCAGGCCTATTCACATGAAATAAAAACTAGCACAAAACACAAAGGCGTGAGTGTTTTCAGCTGAATGGACTTTAAGACACAAGATTAATGTAGCCGCAATGTTACACAAATAATAATCAGATTAAACATTTGTGGACTTTTTAACCTTTTACCCTTAATACAGGCTCTTTGATTGTTTCCATTGTTGAATTTGATATCTTAATTTCACATGAAGTGCTCGGGTTTTTGTTTAACTCTATGGGCGATTTATTACGTTTATTAAGAAACTGAAAATCCACAGACCTTATCCTTTTTTCGTAACGGGGAATTGCTCCACAAATTCCCCTTATTAATCTCGCTGTGTGGCTTAAAGTGGTTTCGTCTGACAACAGTCGCGCCTTTGTGATGGAATAACACCTCCGCTTTGCGCAAACAAACTGTGCCAATTTGTGCAAGCGCAGACGAGACGCAGAAGTATGTGCCAGTTTCAGTGTCACGTGGTTAGGCCTGGGTAATGCAGTGATTTTAGCCGGAAAACAGAACAAAACGGATCTATTTTGACAGTGAAAAGGTCAGTTCTGCTGTGGAATTCTAACCTGCGCTTCAGCTCGATTTTAAATTTGTCATGTCCACTGGACCCAACCCATTTTTCGCAACGCAAACATTACAGGCTGCAATAACTTTAGTACAGGACTAGTCAGCGATTATTTTTTTCGATTTGCCAACTTTTGTATATTGTATATTTGTATTGCACATTGAGGTTTCTTTAAATACATTTTTTAACCAAATAAAGGTGGAATCATGGTGAACGAAGGCATCTAGAATTTGAATATTTGCGATTAGGGCTGGGGATCATTAAGAAGTTGCCGATACGATACATATCTCGATACAGTGCGCTTTTGGTTTGATATGATATATTTCAAATCGATTCGATATGGTTCAATAAAAAAATAAAGGCTAAATCATGGCTGTGACAGTAAAAGTCTTTGTTTAACCAATTCTTGTGCAAAGTTAATATAAAGCACAAACATTTTAATCATCAAAACAGTGAAAATGTCAAATGTGTCGCACAAACGAGGCACCTTTCTCTGAGCAAGCCACAAAACTGTAGCAATGTAACAACATAATTTAGTAAAATATTACAAAAAATACTCTGAGATATATCGATACAGCAGCCCACTATATTGATACTGTATCATCCCTTTAAATAACACAATATAGCGATATTTTGATATTTTTGCACATTCATATTTGAAAAGTGTTGTGGATGAAATCAGAAATAGGATATTCCTTTTTTGACACCATGTAACTTTTTGTTAGTTTGTAAGTACTATATTCGACGAAAGGAAGGGTCATATAGTGCCGATGAGAGATGACAAGATTACTCACACATCCACAAATAATACATTTTTGAGAAGGACAAAACGTTATAATGTAGAAAAGCTCCAAAAAGTTGATTTAGCATAATACCTTGTCTTTAACACCACTGTCTGTGTTAGAAAATCATTTAGTGGTTAACAGTTACTTCTCAAAATGTGCTTATAATTATTTTAAAGGTCCAATATTACACGAAACTGACTCTTGTGAGCTTTTAGTCATGTTAAAATCATCACAAACAGACTTTGAGTTGTGTTTTGTTTCATTCACGTATGTTTGAGTAATCCTGCATTATTAGTCTGTCTCCATCTCTAAAGCTCAAAATGCTCTGTTCCACCTTGTGATGTCATGAAGCGGTAGTTTTGAAGTTAACATCTATCTTTTTTTTACCTTTAGTTCAGTAGAGACAGTGGGGCACTTCCTGTTTTACCACATGACATCACAAAGTGGAGAAGAAGAGAAGAACTCAGCCGTATCCTCCTGCATTTTCCTTCCCTAAACCTGCTTTTGTTTGTTTTTTTTTGTTCGTCACAGATCACCAAAGGGCTGACGCAGGAGCTGAACCGACTGTACAGCCTGTTCTGCTCGAGGAACCCGGACTTTGAGGAGCGCGGGGGGAAGGTGTCTGTGGTGTCTCACTCTCTGGGCTGCGTCATCACCTACGACATCATGACCGGCTGGGACCCCGTGCGCTTCTGCCTGCAGGAGAGCCGCTGCATGGAGGAGGAGCTGGACCAGCGCTGGATGTCCTACGAGGAGAGGCACGTGCTGGAGCAGATCAAGATCACCAGGAAGAGGTACTAATATTGATAATACAGATAATACAAACTGGGAAATTCAAATAAAATGCCATAATACCACCCAAAATTGACCCTATTACCCTATCTAGTGCTGTAAATCGAGTGACATTTGATTTATCACATTGTTGATTCATCTTTAGAACGTAACATACTACTGTTTTAAGGTTTCTAGGACAATCTTGTATTATTTGATTATTTCACAAATTTAAATAAATGATCTGTCTAGACGTTGTATTTCATAATCAATTTCTGAAGCCACATGTTTCAGTTTTAGTGGGGTTAAAGGTCCATCACTGTCGCTTGCAGGTGAAACTGGCTCTTACTGCGACAGATACAAGCTGCTCGGTTTGACCTGGTGTCTCCCGGTGTCCTGCAGTAGTTTACCTTATTTTCTGCACTATTAGGCGCCCTGGATTATAAAACGCACCGTGAACCGAAAAAGCGAGTGCAATGTGCCACTTCTAGACGCAACTGAACAACTGAGTCACCGTGAACGCGCCGAACAAAGTCCGACCGACCCATCCAGCTGTTGTGTTTCATTTAAAGTCCAGTGCGGTTTATTTGTGAAAAAAGTTGGAAAATAGACCATTTAATGACAATGCGCCTTATAATTCAGAGCGCCTAATAGTGCGGAAAATACGGTACATTAGATAAAATGTCTTGGGAAGTTGGTTTCAAAATGACAGATGTTAATGATGTTATATTGTTTAAAATGTTGTTGATGATCCAGCCTTTTTAAACTTTCTCGCAGCACGGTGCCACTTTAGATTCCCAGACTGCCTAGAATAGATTGTAGTGGTGAGTGCCCGGAGAGGTGCTGTAATGGTTTTGTCTTTGTAATGATCAGGTTGAGAGAGTTGGAAACGCAGCTCATCGACCTGGAGGCCAGCAGACCCTCCGCACGTCCAGCTCTCAAGTTTAAGGTAAGAGGACGCCTTCACTCGGAGCTTCAGGGGACTACTCTGAGTCTGGATGAACAAAAGACGCATTTGTAGTGCACAGGAAAGGGCAGAGGCATTTCATTTCCTGAGTGGAATTGCATGCAAAAAAAGAAAAGCTCAGAATAATTAATGGTGCACAGGATTCAAAGGGTCACATTGTTTGCTCAAATGTCACGTTTATTTCCGTGATTATTTTCGTTGTAGATTCTCGCCGAAGCCGCCAAAACTATGAATGAACACATACGGGATGTAGTAAACAAAAATACACTCTAAATAACTCCAAACCTGAATTAACCGTCCCAAAAACTAAACGTAAACCTCGTGGGGACGGTGTGTTTTCTGTCGCTGCTCTGCTCCGCGGTTTATAAATCACTCCTAAAAACTCAAATCTTTTTTCACTTTCTTTTAACAAGTTACATGTATGTTTCTTGTTATTGACTATCTTACTGGTTTCTATGTTTTTAGCAGTTGTATTGTGTATTTTATTCGACTGCGATTGTCCTCGTCTATTCTGTGTTTGTGTACAGCACTTTGGCCAACTGTAAAGATTTAAAGTGCTTTATAAATAAAGGTTGGAATGGTATGATATGGTAACTTTAATTCAGATTACCGACCCTTTGCTTTGATTTCTGCTTTACACTTCTCATTGCTTTACCCTGAAATGCCTTACACGTGCGTTAGTGAAAACTATTTCAGGAGACTTCATTCTAAAGCTTCACTGAGAGAAGCAGAGGGTTTGCAGAGCTGTCAACAAAGCAAAGGGTGGATATTTTGAGGATTTTAGTATAATAAAATACAATATTTAGCTGAGTTCACTTTAATTCGCTTTTTTTTTTAGCTGCATAATTCCATATATTTTGCCTCTTATTTGTATATATATTTTGTATGTGTATAGAAAATGTAAAAAGTATTAAACTTAAAGAAAAGCAGCATTGAATGAAAGGGTGTGTCCAAACTTTTAACTCATAGTGTGTGTCCCATTTCTATTTTTATGTATTCAATTTAGTATAATTCTGTTCCACGATAAGATTTCAACTGTAGAAAAAAAAATCCTCTTCAACAGCTACAAAAAAACCTGACTGAGGTTCGATAAAACCACGCGTCATGTCACAGCTCGGCGTTTGCTCTTGTGTGCGCAGATAGAGAACTTCTTCTGCATGGGCTCTCCTCTGGCCGTGTTCCTGGCCCTCAGAGGGATTCGTCCCGGGGCCAGCGGACACCAGGACCACATCCTGCCCACGTCCATCTGCAGCCGCCTCTTCAACGTCTTCCACCCCACCGACCCCGTGGTCAGTCTCACACACACACGACACGACAGGGCGTCTGAATTACACGCCGCTTTTCTGTCTGTGGTCTCACCCTTTTTCTGTTATCCACTTTTTTATATTTCTGACCTGGCATAAACAGGAGAAAAAAAAAACAAACAAAAAAAACATTTATATAGTTAAAGTTTCACTGTGTACTTGCTTCCCTGTGTTTCTGATGCACTTTTAAGGGATGATATGTTATTTGAATCTCTTAAAGTTATGACTGTAATACGTAGGGGTGGGTAATATTGACAAGAATTAAGAAGTCTTATTTTTTTTAAGGTCCTATATTACACACAATTGACTCTTATGAGCTTTAAGCCTCGTTGTAATGTTGTTACCTCCTCAAAAACAGACCTGGAGTTGTCTTGTTGCGTTCACACATCGTCTGTCTACATTTCCAAAGCTCAAAATGCTCTATTCCACCTTGCGATGTCATGAAGCGGTGGTTTTCAAGTTAACAGCTCCCTTTATCTTCAGTAGAGATGGTCACTTCCAGGGCTGAAATCATCCAAATGATTCTAGTGAAGGTGTGTGGAGTTTAAAAACACGGTGGAGCACTTCCTGTATGACCACTTGACATCACAAGGTGGAACCGAGTGCTTTCCGTTTAAGAGAAGAACACCTAAATATGCAGAGTTTGTGTGTTAAACATGTGTGAATGAAACAAAACACTCCAAGTATGTTATATGTTGTTTGTTCAAATACACAGACAAACCTAGACAGTTGGTGCCTTGAAAAAAAATTTCATATTAGTGTTTGTTTGATTTAGTTATTCAACACTTACGAAAACAAAAAAAAATTGGAATTAATTGAAACTGATATGACAAACAGACAGTAAAAATGCATGTGTATAAAGGACAATTTATATTCTGTGCGTGGGAGTGTCAAAAAGGCTTTACATTTATCTCTTTAAATATTGACCAGCTCATGTTTGAATGTAGTTCTGTTCATTGACAGTGACATGGAGAGATGCCATCGTACCAGCATATTTCTGAGATATATCAATACTGCAGATTTTCAACCCCATCCCCAGGTCCTAATTTTTCTCTCATATGTTCCAGGCCTATAGATTGGAGCCCCTCATTCTCAAACACTACAGCAATATATCTCCTGTGCAAATCCACTGGTGAGTATTTTGTAGTAGTAGTTTGCAGACACTTTTAAAGCAAACTGTAGCAAAAAGTGACATTTTCGCAGCAGCTACAGGACATTAAAATAAAACAGTAATACGTCAAATCTGCCAAAATCTCCAGGTAACAGGTAAGAGTGTGCAAAAATTTCAAAATATAATATATCTTATCGTTTAATGTCATGATACAGTATTAATATCGTGGGCTGCTCTATTGATATATCGCCAAGGCAGTATTTTTTTGGTATATTTTACTAAATGATTTAGTTACAGCGCTACAGTTTTGTTGCTTGTTTAGAGAAAGGAAACTCGTTTGTGTGACACATTTTGACATTTTCACTCTTCTGATGATGAAAATGTTTGTGTTTCATATGAACTTTGCACAAGAAGTGGTTTAACAAAGACTTTTAGCATCACATGATTTAGACTAAGTTTATATGATGACGGTCTGAACAGAATACGCAAAAGTTGTGTCGCGTCTTCACTTTTATTCCACGTTTAGACGAGTGTTTTTCATGAGGAAATCTGCGTGCATACGGTGACGCAGAAGTGTGTTGAATTTGACTGGGTATGCATGCCAGGCGGCTCGGTGGTGAGACTAGGTGGTGATGTATGTGACGAAAACGTGTACGCGACGGGAGCAGATCAGTGTAGACGGAAACACGACGGTGGAGTGTATTCAACTTTTCCACTCTAAAGGTTGGTTTCAGATATTTGCATTTTTAAACCCCAAAAACGCCATTACCGTCTAAAAGAAAGGCACTTACGGTAAAATATTTTGTTCTCATGTAAACAGACCCTTAGCCATTATTTTTTATTGAACCGTATCGAATCGATTTGAAATATATATATATATATATATAGCGTATCGAAAGTGCACTATATCGAGCTATGTATTGTATGGACAACTTCTTAATGACACCCAGCCCTAGTGACCAGTGGATTGAAACCGTACTCTTGCCTCACATCTTCTGCTCAGGTCTCATGTGTCCGTGTCCTTTAGGTGCAGCGCCACAAACCCCACCCCGTACGACGAGCTGAGGCCCACCTTCCTCACGCCGGTGAAGGAGCCCACGTCAGACACAGACAGCATCCCCAGCCCCAGCACGTCCCCCGTGCTCCCGCGCAGACACTACGGGGAGTCCATCACCAGTCTGGGCAAGGCCAGCATCCTGGGTAAGAGGCGGGCGGCCGGGGGGATTTTGCTCATTGCTGTGTACTAGTGACGGGCGAATGGAGCCTCGTGAAGCATTGACACTTCAGTTGCAATATCGTCTCAAATGGTTCGACGTGTCTGAGGCCTTGAAGAAACACTGACCTCTAGTGGACAAATTTAACCATTGGCACGCAGGTGTCTCAGCATCGATGAAGTATTGTTAGTGTAAGACAATACTTGTGTGCAGAGCGACACCGTACCTAAGAACAACAATAATAATGATGATTTTAAATAATGTGTAAAGAGCAACATAAATAGCAGCTGTAAATAAGAAAACAGGTAACACCTTGTTAGGTGGAATTAGATCAAAGTGATCCCAAACCATGGATCGCTTTTTTCCACCTGTAGATGCCATCAAAAAAGAAACAAATGCCAAAAGTCACCAAAATCACCACTAACGTCACACAATACTCCTCACTACACTACATTTTTAAGAAATATTGGTGCATCTTTTATACTGTAGCAGTTTAGCGCTTGTCAAACCACAGAAGTGCGCTGAACACTCTGAAGCTCTGAACCAATCACAGAGCGGAACATTCGCCGAGCCAATGAAATGCTTCGATACACTGAAGAATTAACACGCAGAGAGAAGCAGTAGGGGGAGGGACCGACACTTGGACGCTTTGGTCACGTGAGCAGCTGCTGCGAGACGAGCTCCGAGGCAGCGCTTCAGAGCAATTTGTTTCAGAAAGAACGAGACGTGCTCCGGAGCTCCGTCTCAGTTGCTCGTCACCACTGTCTGCTTTTCTTTTCTGTATAGCCGTGCTCTGTTTTGGCAGCAGCAGCAGAGTTTAGAGCCATTTGAAATTACATGAACGTCAGAATATGGCCCCATGTCATGGAGTCAAAATATCAACATCGACTCCTCTGGTTTCTAAAAAATATGTACTCTACTAGGGATGTAATTGTAACCGAAATATTGTGATATCGAATCGTCAAAGTTCTCACAATAATATCGTGGACCATCACAATATATAGAAATACAAGTCTGTTTGCTTAAATTAAGAGTTTTGGTGCAGCAATAGCTCAAAAAAAACAAAAAAACAGAGGGAACTACATAGACCATGATGCTTTGCTCCACTTCAGTGCAGACTACTGTGAAATCATAGGTTCTTTGGACTGTATCCCAATAAATATCGTCCTGTGGAGATATATATTGTGAAAATATCATACCGAGAGATTTTGATATCGTTACATCCCTGTGCTCTACTCTTAAAAGATTGATGCTGAGTCGTGAAATGTGTGAATTTAAAGCCACACTGTGTAACATTACAGGTTACGTGCCCCTCTTTTACATGAGCAAATAAACTGTAACATAAAATTTAAGACGGATGCAAATGTTTTAAATGTTTCCGGGTTCAGTTCCTGGGTCACCTCGGGCTTCCTGTGTGGAGTTTGCATGTTCTCCCTGTGTCTGGGTGGGTTTCCTCCGGATGTTCCAGTTTCCTACATCAACCCAAAACATGCCCCACAGAACAAATCTTTCAGCGAAGGTAGATCTGACCAGGACGAGCTGAAGATCTGGAGATGGGTCCCCAAGCGCTGTGCTGCAGTAAACACACTGTTGTAGAAGTTTTCAGCTTGTCCAAGAAAGGGTGGAAGCAAAAGTCTGGAGATAAATCGAATGTCTTAAGCAGGAGAAGATTATTTACAATCAGTGATACGGGCCCAGGGGGATTTGAAAAGTCAACAATATGAGCTCAGAGGTACGGTTTATCAAAAAGAAAATCGGAACAAACATTATGAAATTTTGTAAATCTGTTAAAGGGGTGGAGCTCTGCAACAAGTACAGAAAACCGAAAATTGTGCACCAGTCTCTTTCACTTTATAAAGAAGTTTAAATGTTTAACTCTGGACAGATACATGAAATATGACACTTAGTTTGAACTGTAGTACTTTGTTGTACTGTTTCTGATTTGTTCGTTTCCTCTCGCTGTATTTATGAAGATGAACTGGTGTCAAGATGACGCTCTGATAAAGGAATAAAGGGTAAAGGCAGAATAAGTTTATGCTTCAGCCTGCACCTTTTTGGTCAGTGTATGTTAAATATGAATAATGTCAAAACATACCTGTGACCGAAATAAATAAATTAAATAAATAAATAAAAAAAGTAAACATAGTGTGATCTCTGAGTGTTCACATCCCTTTGACTCTGCTTCCAAAGGACGAGGTTTATAAAGCAAGCTGCTGCCTGAAGTGACTCAAATCCGATTTTTTGGCCTCTATGTGACCTGTATCTGATCTTTTAATGACAGTCTGAACGACACAGATCCGATTTTTTCAAATGTGACCCAGGCCACTTGGATATGTGCTCCTGAAACTGATACATATCTGATCTTTTGACATGCGACTTCAGTCTGAACGGCCAAAGTGCATTCATCCACCTACACATTATCAACAAGCCACAAACGTCACTATTCTGCGCTGAAGTAGGCAAAAATTGTTAATGAACTCCGTGTCACTGAAGTGAAGCACATCACCACTCACCACTCTTGGCTCCGTCTCCACATCCACACGTTCCTTTCAACGGACGTCGCTGCTGCTGCCCCACAAAACACCACGACCAAAAACCTCGTCCTTCTCCTTCTCAATCTCCTCCTTAAAACAAGTAAGTTGTTCATGTTCTGGCTCCGGTACGAGAGGAACTTTAAAATCTCCAGGTGCTCAATGCTCGCGTCCATGTTTGGACAACTTCCGTAAACACAGAGCACGCTCCCTGCGGTTGACGTCATCGTGTCCTCTGGTGTGCATGCGGGACACTTTAATGTTCACACTGGAGTCACATACAAGTCACATATAATTGGAAATGTGAACGACCTTGCAAAAACATTCAGATTTCACAAGAAAAATCTGAATTGAGCGTTAAGCCCTGCAGTCTGAACATAGCCTTAGTCAGTAATATGCCACAGTTTAGATAATGGTGTGCCAGTGGTATCAAAGGGAAGATGATTGTGTGACTATAGCTCCTGTGAGTCAGTGTTTAACAGAGAAATGTACGTGGAGGATAAAGTACTTAAATTCTCTTACACCCACTGTTCATGAGGAGATGCTCTGCAGTATTGAAGGGTGACTCAAATGCAGCAGACAAATTTTCCTATGGGGACACAAAAAGCCCACACCTAAACCTTTAAATGTTTTTTGTTTTTGTTTGTTTATTTATTTCATTCATATAGTATAAAACGACATCAACAGTGTCACAACATCAAACATAGAAGAAATGAATGAAAAGGAGCAGAAAGAAGAGTCTTATGTTATCTGCCCCTTTTCTACGGAAGCCGAGAAGGGGTCACAACAAACGCAAACGCTGTAACAAATACAAATGCGACAACACAAAAAAAATCCACAACGGAAATGACCGCGGGACTCTATTTTAATGCAAACGCCGCAACAAATACAAACGCATAATGATAAAACAATAAATTAGTTTTAATTACGTTTCCAATTTCTCCGTTCCTTTACTTTTCACGTTGTAGTTCTTCTTCTTCACTTGCCGCTTGATCGGTCCCGACGTGACTTTGTGACTTTTTAATGTGTTGTGGGTTTTTAATGTGTTGCGGCATTTGTGTTGTGGCGTTTGTATTTGTTGCGGCTTTTGCATTAAAATAGAGTCCCGCGGTCATTTCCGTTGTGGCTTTTTTTAGTGTGTTGTGGCTTTTTGTTGTGTTGTCGCATTTGCATTTGTTGCAGCGTTTGCGTTTGTTGTGACCCTTCTCGACTTCCGTACTTTTCCCTTTTCCAGAGAAAATATCAACACTGATCGTTACTTTAAAACATTTAAAATCTGTACATTTCAGTTCAGGCACAATTATGAATCAGTTGCAAACAGAAATCTTCTCTATTATGCACAAGAACTTGGTTTACATTGCACTGGATTTTATGTATTTTTGAAATGCCGTCATTGCACTTGATTCTTTTATTTCTTTGTCAAGACCATAAGTGAACTCCTTTCACAGCCACGCATTGCTCCATAACCTTGGGTCTGAATCTGGTGTTTTAAACATTTAGGTTCATTTTAAATTATAGTGGCTTGTTCTCGTCTCAGACAGTCTTTGAATATTTACAGGTAACACATTGCGCTTTGCTTTATACACGACTTTGAGGAGACTTAAAGGTTGTATAGA